TTTGAATGCAACATGCAAACAAAATAAAGCAGTACTCTGATAAAGTGAAAGCTTATTTACCTCGTCCTATGAGGAATGTCCCTGTAAGCAGTTTACTTTACTAAAACACAATAACGCTTATTATATTTACCATCATACTAAAAGAAAACTAGAAAAGCAGTGATACCAAAGAACTTAAGGATTCTTTTTTTTTTTTTTTCGTAAATTGTATGGAAGTATATTGATGAAAATGACTTGAGAGTTTGAAGAGCCAGAGGTTGTTATGGACCAGATCAGTGGGAACAGAAGAAGACCTGCTCAACCATATGATAAACATTCTATTGTTCATTTTAAACTTTAAAACAAATCCTCCTACCTTCTAATAGGTGCCACTTGTTTATAACCTTCCTTAACAGCAAGGATAACTTTCCATCTGTGGAAGGCCCCTGGAGCACCAGAGTTTTTCAGCTCTTTGCGCCATCTTTTAGGTGCAGATTGCATTTGAGGTGAATAATGGGTGTCTTTTTCAATTTTATATCCCCATTCGTATGTTGTTTCATCAAGCCATCTGCCACTTTCGGCACTATTAATTATGTACTCCTTAGTTAGTATCCACTTTCCTAAAAAGCAAATGAACTGTCAACCACAAAAGATTTTTTAGCGCAGACAAATGGCAATCAACTGAAGATCTACTACAAAATTAACTTAAACTTCTCTTCTGCAAATAAAAACTGGAATTACAAGTACCATTTGAAAAACTTCTTCCTATTACAAGAGTTCTCATCTTTACACTTTAAATTCCGAAATCTCACAATACCACTGAAAACGATCATTTTGTTTTCTTTTAATGATCAAGTACCTTTTTACCCTTCCCAGATGAACTACTTGTCTATCTGCAAATGGAAGATTTCAACTTCCCAGATTTTGTTCTTGTAAGGAATTTAGCTACCCTTTGTTTTTAATAGAAGTTGACACTTTTACAGAGTTACCTAGGCAGATCTGAGGTGCATTTGGTGCACTTCTTTGATATGTAACAATGTTGTCAAAGCGCATTTCGGATCCTTTTTTTTTTGGCTAAGGAATTAATTCAATACACTGAAGAAATATTTTGCCTCTGACAATTAAAAATAAGGAAATAAAGATGATGTTTTTAACATGCAAGCTGTTTTACTAACACCACAAGTATAGTGAATACCAATACTAGGAGGATACAGTTTTACGCATTTTTCTTTTTCTTTCAACCTTTTCTTGTCCTCCTTTGGCTCCACCTCCTCCACCTCTCTTGTTTTACCTTCTGCATATATGCTTCTGATACTGCACATAATGATCTTCCCCTTTTTCTCTCTGTCTCTATTCTTATGGGTTCAGATCAAGAGCTGTGGTTAAGCAACCTGCTCCTTTTTTTGAAATACTACCTACAGAAGATACTGAAAGACAAATTGACTTGAATTGTGTGAACTTAATTGGTTTTGCAGAACAGCAGGTTTGAATGGCAGAACGTCTCAGTGCACAGACGGTACTTCTATATAACCTAACACTTCCACATAACCTAGCATAGGTACTAGCACACTTCTGACTGCAACAGGTATGCTGTGCACAACCTGGATATTAAAAATCTCTTTCATTTTGAAGCTGGCGACTTCATGAGAACTGGCATCCTTGTCAGTATTTACATTCACTAAGACAAGTTTAAATGTGATCACAGGAAAGAATTACAGTAGGAATGAACACGTTCTGTTATCAAGGGCAAGAATAATGATTATGCAAAATTGGTGCCTCTTCCAGATTAAGATGTATTAGAAGGTACATAAGAAAGTTTGTAAAGAGAGTAACACAAAAGTTTTGCATTAGCAAGAAGGTAGTGGTGTCCATTTGTTTAAATCTCCAAAACTAGAAATAGATGGATTTGATATCTAAAATGTGTAGTTTCAAGAGTTAAAACGAAATGCTAGACCAGAAATTTATCCATATTTTAACATTCTTTCTCTCATGAAAATGTTGGTCTATCATCTACTCTCTGATACCAGTTTGATCAGAATTTTGGACTGCTACAAGCAACAATCTATGGGTATTACTAAATTTGAGCAGCAGTAGATGAGTAAGAATGCTTACAAATATAGTATATAAGTGTACATATACAGTATACAAGTGTAAACATAAAATCATTCATTTTTCAGGTATCTTTATACTTAAGTCCACATTTAGATACTTCTATCTATAATCTCCTCAATTCAAGTAAATCCTGCCCAATAACTGCTTTATCAATTTCTTATAATACAGTATGGGAAAAGTAAAGATCACACTTAAACAGTCAATAAATGAGGACCGTGAAATTTTTCAACTCCTTAAAATTCTCTAAATTTATCATAAAATTCTTCCAGGGAACACCTTTTAATACAAATCTTAATTAATTATCATTTTAAATGCACTTTTAGTTGCTTGACCATAGCATTTTAGCATCAGAACCTAGGTAAAAAAAGAGCAAGATACTTGTGTCAGTAAAATGGCAGCAGCAAGAACCTGTAGTTCTCAGTGGCTACAGTAAGCAGAAACTTTGTGACAGTGATCTTTGAACAATGAACATTGTATTGAGTTTGGTATCAAAAATCTACTTATCAGTTACAACTCTTTCTGCACACTCCTTTCAAGTGAGCTGTTCTAGGGAAAGCATTAGGTTACAGCTTACGCTGATGATTTAGCACCTGGTGAAGGGATGTGGATGTGGCTGCTCCAGGGACTAAAGGCAACGTGTTTGTACCTGTGCTCCCCATCGGACCAGAAAGTGTGGACACAGGGTGCAGACACTCCGGGCTCAAATAAGGGCCAAACACTAAAGGCAAAGCATATCTTGGGTCCAGGCTGCTTTCCGAGGAGTACTACATAGCCAGAGAGGGTTCAACTCTTCTCTCTGTATATAACTATTGGCCTACTAGTGACTACTTTGCCTGATATTACCAAGAACCAGTCAGAAGAAATTTCACTTCTCTGTGAACAGAGGAGCTGTTTTTAAGCATTTACAATGTTTGGATAAGACTTCACGATGTAACTGATACATAAGAAACCTTTTATCTAGGCACCAGTGAAGATCAATTAAAAAAAAAAAAAAAAGACACTGTGATATCACTTTGCAAAAACGTAAAAAGGTAAATCTAAGCTTAAACACAAGAGTAGTAGAATGAGGAAAAGGTGTTTTCTGTAATTCGAAGGATCACAGAATTGTAAGGACTTCTGAAATCCTTACAATGGAGGGGACTTCTAAAGATTGATCCCAACCTCCTTGCTAAAGCAGCTTCCCTACAACTGGTCACACAGGTAGGTGCACAGATGGGTCTAAAGTCACAGAAACACAGAATGGCCAGGATTGGAAGAGAGCTCAAGGATCATCAAGCTCCAAACCCCCTGCCACATGCAAGTCTACCAACCTCCACATTTAATACTAGACCAGGCTGCCCAGGGCCCCATTCAATCTGGCCTTGAACACCGCCTGGGACGGGGCATCCACAGCCTCTCTGGGCAGCCTGTTCCAGCACCTCACCACTCTCTCTGTAAAGAACTTCCCCCTGACATCGAACCTAAATCTCCCCTCCCTCAACTTCAAACCAGTTCCCCTTGTCCTGCAGTTAACAACCCTTTCAAAGAGTTGACTCCCCTCCTGTTTATAGGCTCCCTTTAGGTACTGAAAGGCTGCAATGAGGTCACCCTGCAGCCTTCTTTTTTCCAGGCTGAACAAGCCCAGCTCCCTCAGCCTGTCTTTGTAGGGGAGGTGCTCCAGTCCCCTGATCATCTCGGAGGACCTCCTCTAGACCTTCTCCAGCAGCTTCCTGTCTTTTGTACTGCGGGCTCCAGACCTGGACACAGTACTCCAGATGTGGCCTCACAAGAGCAGAGTAGAGAGGGACAATCACCTCTTTGTCCCTGCTGGCCACCCCTCTTCTGATGGACCCCAGGATACCATTTGCTTTCCGAGCTGCAAGAGCACACTGCTGGCTCATTAAGCTTTTCGTGCATCAGAATCCCCAGGTCCTGATTCTAGAGTACCTCCAAAGAAGGAGATTCCACAACCTCCTGTGTCTCCGGGCAGCCTGCTCCAGTGCTCCCATACTCTAACAGTTAAGAAGTTCTTCCTTATCTTAGTACAGAACATCCCTTATTTTATGGCTGTACACTACTGCAAGGAGTCTGCCCCCACTAACTTGACTCCCAGTTCATGAAATGAAAACCGAGTTTAACTGTTCAGTTCTAGTATTGGTTCCTTGAAATTTTAGCAAACCTACTTACCTGCAGCACAGGCAGCTAGGAACTTTTCACTCTTGCAAAGCTTTTTTGCTATAAGATGTGTGCAGTTCCTGTATTTCTAATTAAAAACAAAACAAGGCAATTACAACAACAGCTTTATCAATGGAAACATTTACCTTTTTTTGTTGTTGTCGTTATTAATACGTAACTCCACATTACTACACCGTGTTTTACTTCATAGCTTGCTTTCCCTTTCCGCCTTAACCATCACGCGCTTTGATAAAAAATACCTTATTATCAACAAAAACACAGTCCAGTCTGAGTAACATCTCACGCAGTGCTTTTTTCTCTTTCTTTCTAAATCCAGTGAACTGGATTCTCCGTTTCCGGCCGCCATCCGCCGCCTGTTAAGAAGTAAACAGACCGACTCGCACACAGAGCACACGTTACGACGATCGTATTCGTGCCCTCATAGGCGATCCGAGGACACGGGAGGCACACCGCGAGGAGCCGCGTTACCCACCGACACGCCGGGAGCTGCCGCGCTGCCGGAGGACCCGCTGAGGACCGCCGCAGGCCGAACGCTCACGGCCGGGCACCGAAGCCCCGCCACGGAGCGATCCTGGAGGAGCTCCCTTCTTCTTCCTCCTCTCCTCCTCCTCCTTCTCCTTACAGGCGAAGCCGCTCGCCGCCCGCCCCGACGCACGCGGACCGCGGGCCCAGCAGGCGCCATCCCGCCTGACGCCAGGCGCACCGCTCCCCTCCGCCTTCCCGCCTTCCCCTGCCCCGCCCCCGGATGTGGCTGTGCGGCCGTTCCGGCCCGTTGTCACTGACGCTTCGCGGTCGCTGGGGCTGCTGCTGCGGAGTCGAGCGGGGAGCCCGGCCAGTGGGTAAGTGAGCTGCGGCCAAGCCGCGGTGCCGAGCGGGAGGCGCTCCGAGGCCTCCTCTGCTGGCGGCGGTGTGGGCGAGGCCCACGGCATTGCGCACTTCCCGGCTCCTCGGGCGGCTGTAGTGGGGCCAGGGTGGGCGGGAGGGGAAGAGGAGGAGGAGGCGGAGGAGGCGGTGGTGTGGCGACAGGCCTCCCCTGCGCTGGGAAAAGGGACCGGGAAGGCGGGGCGGGAGGGCTGTGCTGGAGTCACGCTGGCGCCGCCTCAGGGGCTCGGCCGTGCCTTGTGCCACTGAAAATCACGGCTCTCATTGCTCGCAGGAGTAGGAGCTGGTCTTGCCGAAGACGCTGATAGAAGCCGAGCAGACCGCGGTGTAGAAGCAATAGAAATGCCGCCTCTAGCCCGGGGGTGCAGGTGCTCTGTGTCCTTCTCTGAGCCTCAGGATCTCCCAGGTCTCTGTTCCGCTCGCACTGGGTGCTGGAGCACAAGCTGGGGCAAACTCACCCCTATCGAATTTAGTGACTTCTTTTTTTTTTCTTTTTTTTCTTTCTTTTTTTTTTTTTTTAACTACGAAGCTTCCTAAAGTAGTTTAGCATTCTGATTGTACACCAAGCGCTCAATTTCGAACTTAGAAATACTAGGATGGCAGTTGTTTTTCAAAGCGTGATGCATGGCTCTTGGTTCCCTGCGTCGCCTCAGACAGAGAATGGGTTGTACACGAGAAATAGTTCAGTGCATCATAATGAATAAAATAGGCTTTGTAGAACACTTTCTTTCTTACACTTGCAGTTGAGAAGTTGAAGGCATGCATCCTGGTTCACAAAGAAGAAAAGACAATTTGAGTTTTTTTCCTTAGAAAATTGAATCTGCTTTCTCCCCCTCCCGTACAGTTTGGAGGCAGCAGTGGACAATTCGCTGCACACTGAGACAACTGTTCTTTTCTGAAGTTGTATAAACTGAGATATGTAAGGCAACACTTTCTGAAGTGCTGTGTACGGCATCCTAGGAGAAGAAGCAAGGCTTTGAACTCATCACTGCTTTACAACAAGTATTCTAGGAGGAAATCAAACAAACATTTCAGAAACAAAAAGCAACCACTGGGCTTTAGACATCTAAAATTTGGCTGTACGTTGGGCACCTGGTTCTAAACCTGTCTGAGCTTGCCAGCAATCAAAAATAGAAAATTAAATTTACCTGGCCTCATGAGCCTTGTGCTGCTGCTTATAAAATATTCTGGTACCCCACTGACTTAGTGAAGATGATGGTGAGAAATTTATTTTGGATTCCAATCTATGTTTTGATTTAATGCTGCACGTAAGACATGCAGCCATGCATTGAATAACTGTGTGAAGGAAAAACATTCATCCTGTCTGTAGACTCGCTTCTATTGTAACGGCAGGGTAAAGTTATGCAAAAGCTGTGACCACTTGTGAAGACCCAGTGAAAACAGATTTAGGTTGCTGCTCTTACTGCTTAATGAAGTTTTTTATTATCTAGTTTCAGTAACATTGGAGCTGTATTATTGTGCTCCACAGTGAAGAAGCAATCATCATCTACCTCTGTCATTGGTGTTTATTGTTGGCATTGAAAAATCTTTTAACATCTACGTGAATATTCGGAATCAAATAGCGGTTTCTATTGTTTGCATTACTTGATTGACAGTGGAAATTAGTTGTGCTCTCTATTATGTACCTGTTTCACCTTTACACCTTCCCTAGTGAGTCGTCATCACTCAACAGGAACTAGTATTGATTTTCATAATTGAAATGCAGGAAGTCCCAGATGTGTTTGTTTTTCAAAACATAATTGGAAGTTTAGACTATGCTTAATTTGTAACCTCTAAATAATATTTGTTACTTGAAAATTTTCTGTACTAGAAAACAAGAGAGGAAAAAAATAAAACTGTCTCAGAATAATTAATTCTGTGATTATTTACTTATCACTCTTCAATTACTTTAAAGTTAAGTGTTATTATTAACAGTTATTAAGCAGTGGTAACTGTAGTGCTATGCCACAGGGCTCTTAACAGATTAGAGAAGTCTTGTGTGCAACACTGTAAGGAAGCTACCTGCTTGTGTAATAACTGTTGTCTTTAGAAATTGATATTTTTTTCTTGAGTCTGATACAGAAAGTCAAAAGAAATGAGAAGTCAAGCGTTTCATGTTCACTTAAAAATATATTGTTACTGAAGTGTAACTTTAAGACATTAAGACTATGTTTTTTACCTTCCTTTTGGTGATGCCTGCTAAATTAGGGTTTCACTTATGCTCTTTCTCTATTTTTTGTAACAAATCTGAATTCTTTTCTGAATCTGAATTCTTTTTTCCTATTCTTACTGTGATGTGATCATAGTAGTTAAATATTTCTTACATTTTGTTCTTATTCTCATGAGTTAAGATTAGTTCTCATAAATCTAAGGAGTGGACTGTTTAATAGAAGCATGCTCCAGTACCCCTCGGTTTCTTTGTTCTTTCAAGGTGTTGGTCAAATATGTTGTTTAATTGCTCAGTATTATAAACTGTATTTAATCTCTTGGTCTGTGGGTTTTAGATATATTTCTTTACACTTTTTTTTTTATTCTTAGGGCTATACAAATGACATTCCACTTAAAAAAATACATAATTCTTCATGTGTATTCATTTACTCGTTCACAAAAAGAATTGACTTTCGTTGTTTCCATTCCACATCCCTACCAGACTTCTTTCTGCTTCTTTCTTAGTTTTGTTTCCTAGAGAGACGTGGTTCCTCTCAGGTCCCTCCGAGTCTCCTCAGAAAGGTTGGAAAGAAAATACAGTGAAAATAGTGCTTGTGGATTGAGATAAGTATACGGAGATCCTTCACCAATTGCTATCACAAAATACTAGGCAAAACTAACTAGTGTAGGGAGAATAATGTAATTTATTACACAACAGACACATCAGTGAGAATGGAAAGCAACTTTCTTTTCTCTGCTATCTTCTGCTGAGTGGTGCAGAGGAACAGGAACGGGGTTTGTGGTCAGTCTGTAACTCTTCATCTCTGCCACTTGTTTATGGACTTTTTTTTGCCCCTTCAGGAACTCACTGCCCCATCCACTGCTGTAGAGAGCTCTGCCTGGAGAACCTCCTGCCCTCCTCCTGCGCTGACCTGAGTACCTGTGTGGCTGCTTCTCTCCCATTTCTCACCCCTCTCTCCCAGCTGTTGTAGTGCAGCAGTGTTTCCCTCTCTTACATTTGCTCTCCCAGAGTGCATCCAACTTCTCTTGTGGCTTGCCAGTGACAGTAGTAGATCCCTGTTGGAGCAACTGGAGCTGCTCTCCTATGGGGCACTGCTAGGCCCTCAGAGGCCACCCCTGCTTCCTCTTCTACCAGTACCTTGCCATGCGATATCTTCCATCATACAGAGAGGTTTAGTGTTTGGCTGATTTACTACACAGTGTGAAAAAAGATTTGTTAGAGCTGTTTTTTCTGTCCTCTTTTTAAGATTTTTTTCTACTAATTTTTATACAGTTGTCACTCTCTGCTGGTGTACACATATATATATGTTAAAAAAAAATTAAAATGGCAAATGTTGGTCAAACAGTAATCACAGCTTTGGGAAAACAACCTGAAGCTACACTGAAAAGTCAGACAAAAACAAAAACAGTACAAAGTGTCTCCACACTGCCTTCTTGTGGAGAAAAATCTAACTTTGTGTCCTATTCTAAACCCATTTTTTAAGGCTGTCATCAGTATTAAGCACCGACTCTGGCTTTGTCGTAACAGTGAAGGAAAAATTTAAAACTTTCTTCTATAGTGATAAATCACTACTAGAATTAGAAGTAATAACATAATATAAATCCCCAGAAGCTAGAATAGTTTGTTAGGAGTTCTTCTGTGAAGTACTTCTGGTTTCTTTCATGTGCTGATGAATACAGAAATGGCAGAACGTGCACTGTTAAATGGTTGCTTTTCTTCAAGCTGTACTGACTGTGTAAACTCTCAATTATCATAACTTTGTGTTTCTGTTCAAAATCATCTTATATGGCCTTTTTCAGAGGAATCAATTATATTTCTCTTATTTAACCATTTTGCTTACTTTCATTTATTTATTTGTTTGTTTGTTTGTTTACTTATTTGGGGGTTTTTGGGGTTTCTATAAGCTTAGCCTTATGTCCTGGCATTCATCTACTGTTCTGCCAGTTTATGTTATGTTAATGTGCGTTTTGTTGAGAGACAAATGTACACAGTGCAATTCCATAACTTGTTCAGTAACTCTTCTGTAAATGATGTCAAGCTATATCTGCTAGATACATGTATTAGTTCACTTACTAAGAAGTTATTAAAATGCACTACATCAGTGAACTTCAATCATTCATGACTTGTAGTAGATTTTTTTGTTTCTTTTCAAAATAGAGCAGGATGGTGTTTGGTTTTTTTAATATAATACTTTCAAGAGAAGTTTGCCTTAGGATGCTGCTGAATCTTTAGTCTCTTAAAGGCTATAGTACAGTAGTAACTTATGTATTCATTGGTGGTTTTTATCAGAAATAATACTCTTAAGGAGACAGTACTTGCGAAAAATCAATCCACAATCAACTGTCTGAATAATACAAAAAAAAATAGTCATATTAATGTAAGAACATATTGCCATTTGATAGGAGGTTTCTGTTCAGATAGGCTTGAAGGATTTGACAGTCAGTTGAGCCAAATGTGCTAAACACCCAATGTTTTTATTTTTCTCAGTGAGTCTTATGAAGAATTTATTTGAATTGATAAGAGATTTTGCCTGATTTCTGTTTCTCATCACACTTGTGGAATTGGAAGTGAATTGGCATGTTGTTATTCAGAAAATTACTGTCTGATTCTTCTTGTCTTTGGTATACCAAAACTGAGACATGTAAGTCAGTCTTCCATCCAGAGATAACACTCTTTGATGTGAATGAAAAATACCTTCAGCTGAGGAGTCAGCAACATCCTTTTGTGATTTGTAGTCACAAGAGCTTCTGAGAATTGGAGAGGTCCTCCAAATAACTTCCTAAAAAT